CAGCTTCTTGTTTAAGTGAAAATAAATGGAAGGTTGTCTTTTTGCACTAGTAATGTTGTGGAGTTGTATTTTGTCTCGCATCAATTATATCGTCAGTTATAGCGTTATCGCAAATTTTAAAATATATATCGTGATAAATATTTTTGGCCATATCGCCCTGCTCTACTGAAGAGTAAACAGTAACAGAACACTGGACTGGTAGATGAGTTTTTGGTACAAAGAAAACAGTTCTGGAAGGTACTTTGATAAGTGATAAACCCACAGATGTCTCAGAAATGCTGATAATTTCTGCTGCTCTGACAATTCAAAAGGATCATATGCTTGCAGATGATCATTCATTTCAATTTTTTAAGGTTTTTTAATGAATCAGCACCCATCACGATGTTTATATTTCTTAAATTGCTCACTTGATTGTTTTTATGTTAAGTAGAATCAATATTTCAAAAATAAAAGGATGAGTACATTTTTACTTACAGAGCTTTGTTGGAGGCTTTGATCACCGGTAGGAGTTTTAGAAGAGCCTCCTCTGAAGCAGAGTATTTCTTCAGGTCAAACACATCCAGATCTTTTTCTGATGACAGTAAAATGAAGACCAGAGCTGACCACTGAGCAGGAGAAAGTTTCTCCGTGGAGAGACTTCCTGATGTCAGGCACTGTTGGATCTCCTCCACTAGAGAACGATCATTCAGTTCATTCAGACAGTGGAACAGATTGATGCTTTTCTCTGCAGACAGATTCTCACTGAGCTTCTTCTTGATGTACTGGACTGTTTCCTGACTGCTCTGTGAGTTTCTTCCTGTCTGTGTGAGCATTCCTCGTAGGAGAATCAGACTGTTCTGTAATGAAAGACCCAGAAGGAAGCGGAGGAACAAGTCCAGGTGTCCATTTGGACTCTGTAAAGCCTTGTCCACAGCACTCTGGTGGAAGTGCTTAAGTGTAGATTGTCCCATTTCAGACTTCTGGGAGGTTGTTTGTTGTTCTTCCAGCACATTAATTCCAGAGTTGATGAAGGTCAGATGGACATGAAGAGCAGCCAGAAACTCCTGAACACTCAGATGGAT